TGAGGAGAGAATAAAACGCAAGCAGAATTTTATACTGCGAAACATTCCGAGTAACTTATCTGCTATAAAGGGAGCGCATTTGTTCCTGCAAAGTTGTGGCTTGGGTTTCAGTGTCTCACAAGCTAAACGACTGCGCTCGCTTATTCGTAATAAACCAATACTAGTTACCCTTTCCTCCTTGAGAGAATTCGATTTTATCATGTTGAGGAGGGAGATAACTAGAGAATTCTGCCGTTCATTGCACAGCTCCATTTCGTCAGACCTCACACCTCTGCAGCAAAGACTGAACAAATTGAAATTATCAAAAACCAACGCCGAGATGATGACACCAATGCTCAATTTGAATAAGTCTTCTGCTACAATATCTGCGGACTCTACACGTCATGGCATAGTCAATTCCGTAGGGAATTCGACTCTTGATGCCGAAATCTTTAAACACATAAACACGCCTGCTATAAATACGCCTCTACCGACGCCCCAGCAACCCTTAGCAAGCCCAAGCATGTGTCTAAGTCAAAGGCAAATCCAATTGCTGTGGCAGCCACGCGGACACCCAAAAAATCCAGCACCATTATAAAATCTTTTCCTCCAAAATCGGCTAACAGTGCCTCAAATACCCCGACTCAAAACATAACGTGTTCCCAACTGCCCATCAGCCCTCATATCGGGGCGGTTAGGCCGAATATACCGACATTCCCGCCTTTTACTAGAACTCTCGCTCCAATGGAAGCAATGCGTCGGGCACCCCCTAACATGTTTCCTCCACGGCCGTTTTATTAATGTATTCCTCACGCTAATGTCCATACTGGATCAGTTAACTCATCTGATCCTCAGTTTCGTTCCGGCGAGAATGTGCTGCATATATGGCCCGCGGATTTCCAGCTGAAAATGAGTTAGCTAACAATCGTTACCAGCTTCCCTGCCCGTTATTTCCTTCCCCAAGTTCTACCCCTTTTTATCCACGTTAGAATGTTTTAATGCCATAAACTTTTTTACAGAACCGGATGGGTACATCCGGACCGTTTGCTCCGTGGGCAGCCAAGCACTGGACGACGTAGCCCATCTTCCTCAGAAACAAACAGCATTCTCCCTCAAAATTTTTGTTTTATATGACAGATTCTGGCGTCAGACTCTGGTGTTCGTCCATTGTCCAGATATTGTTTTAGTAAGTGAGACATGGGCATCAGCCTCCGTTGCTGACTCCGAACTCTCTGTTCTCGGCTATAATTGCATTCGAAATGATCGTCAAGACAGCCATGGTGGAAGCAGTTGCGTCTACGTTAAACAAACACCTACATTTCTGCCGCTGGACCTCCTGCATTTTTCCGCAGTAAAAGGCAGCTGCTGGATCCAGGTTGCACAAAAATATAAGTTTGCCTTACTCGTTGGCTGTGTTTATCGCCCTCCCAACGCCAACAACAATTCTGATCGTTTACTCTCACAGGAATTTTATACTGCGTCCGACGTAAGCTATAAGTATCAATTGCTTGCGGGTGATTTTAATCTCCCTGACGTTCGCTGGTCTCCGCTTCCCTGCCCCAGAAGGTTCGAAGACTTTCTTGAGGCTGTGGATGTTGGGATGTGAAGTCAGGTTGTTGACTTTCCCACCCGAGAATCAAGCATGCTTAATCTACTTTTCCGTAGAGGCTGCATGCCTTCGTCAATGTCATTCCTGGGACCATTCGGGGACTCAGCCCACAACATGGTTTTTTAACGTTGGAACTGGAGGCGGGCAAAACGTTGTCCCCAAAGTGTAGCTTTTTCCGAGATTTTCGACAAGTTCGCTCAGCCGAATTATTAGCACATCCTCATTCCGACGACTGGACTGATTTCTTCCTTAGTTCGGACGTAACTGTTAGCATTGCAAAACTGTACGAAATTTTGGATCCGCCTATTTCTCTATTTGTCCCCTGTAAGAAAATAATTAATGTTCGGTATGAGGTTTTCCTACCCTTGCCATTTCGTCACAGGTTGCGCAGACTTTCTCGGCGATTCCATCTTCAGAACGACGTTTCTGTACTGGCCTTGATTTGTCATATTTTTGAGCAGACTAAGAGATTTGCTGAAGAAAAACAGCTAGCTGAACAGGTCCAATTCACTGAAAACCGGTTGTTAAATGCCTCGAAACTTTTCTCCCGTATAGTAAAAACTCAAATAAAGACGCAACATCCCAACCTCCGAGGCGCTCTTGGATATCCTGTAGTTGATGCCAAATTTACCGTTGATAGCTTCAATGCTTTCCTGTCCAAAACATTTATTGAAGAATCGACCACTTCACTTCCGACCATCCAGGCATTGACCGGGGCAGTTCTCAAAACTATAACTTTCACTCTGTGGGATGTGACTGTTGCCATTAGGCGATTTCGTCAATCTCATAGCCCAGGACCTGTTGGTGTCCCAGTAAACATTTTAAAAGCGGATGCAAATACGATTATCCCATCCCTCTTGTGCAAGATATTTAATCTCGCTCTTGAAAGTGAAACTTATCCTACGTTGTGGACGGGCTCACACATTTTACCCATTCCTAAGCATGGCCAATCTACGTCATTTGATGACTTTCGTCCAATAAACACTTCCCCTGCAGTTTCGAAGATATTAGAAACATTGATCAACGATAAGTTGCTGTGTCACTCAACAGCGAATAACCTACTGAGTGCTGCTCAGCATGGATTCCTCAAAGCTCGCTCTTGTGACACCTGTCAACTCTCTTTCTTTGACTATGTTCTCCAATCTAGGCACAATGGTTTTGCACTTTACACAATGTATTTCAATTTCATTAAGGCTTTTGATCGTGTTGACCATGCTCTTCTTCTTCTCTTGAAACTGTCCTCTTTCGGAATAGGTGAAAAACTTTTGAAATTTATATCCTCCTATCTGGGCGCTGGTACACAACGAGTTAAGATTTCCAATGCTATCTCCAACCCCACATGTGTGAGGAGTGAAGTCATTCAGGGTTGTGTACTCGACCCGCTTTTACTTTGCCTTTTTGTTAACGATGTACCCAATTTATTTCAGAATGGTAAGCCCTTCATGTATGCCGATGATCTGAAAGTTGCATATCGATATAAGTCGGCAGATCGTGACATCCTACTTAAGCTCCTAAAATGCGACCTACAGGCCTTTGTCCAGTTTTGTCGCTAAGGAATCCGATCCGTTCGAAGACCTCCGTTCCCGAGATTCTGTCTTGCCGTCTAAGAATTAGAATCCTGCGGATACCGCTAGGGATGGCAGTGGCTGAATTCCTCCGTTTAGTTGGCATAGACGCACCATGTGTCCGCCCTCGCAGTAGCGCTGTCGAGACTACCGTAGTGTATATTTTAAGCTTCACGAACAATAGCAGGTCCGCGGCGGTTCCAAATGGAGGCCTACAGCCGGTCGTGGGTCTGACTGGCATCGGAGATCAGGTAGGCCACTTCGGCGTACACCTCTCTGTTGCTTGCGGTGGTGCCGCCTAGTTAGGTAAGCTTGTTCACAAACGCGGGCCGTAATCCGTACACGTCAATATTAGGTGAAGTGTGTTCCTCTTCTGGTGCTGACCGTTGCACGGCTACCATTTTGTCTGTGTTGATGGTCAGCCCGAAACTAGCTCAGACGTTGGCGAATAATTCTATGCCTCTTTACATGCCTGCATCCGTCGGAACACTGAATGTACGGTGGCCGGCGAAGAGGAGTCCGCGGACAGTGGTAGCTGAAGTCCGTCTGGCGCATGCATTCATCAGGTTTTGAGATGATGGTCATTGGTCTGAAAGACGACGCTGACCCCCGGATGCTCAAACGGTACATGTTTCTCAGCAAGGCAAAGAACAAGAGTGTGGTCAGCTTAGGAAGGGAGAGAGAGAACTCAGGCATGCTCTGATCCCCAGGTAATTGCGGATGCTTCGAAGACCATTTTATTGACCGTAACACGCGCATTATCACATTGAGAACCTGACACATCATATTCATTATTCGTCAAAGACGGATTAAGTTGTGTATTATTTACCGGAATTAGTCGCAACGCACTGAGTTGGAGACATTTGCTGTGTCAATGCAAGTGGGTGTTCATCTTCCAGTACTTCTCTTGCATGTACGGGACGACGAAGTCCATGTCTGTGGTTTCCCGGTGTCGTCGGAAGCGACAATAGCTTTCAGCGAAAATTTCGTATTTATATGAATGCTTGCAAACACCCTCCTAGCAATTTTGATCAAAAAAGTCCCTCCTTGGTTATCAGGTATTTGTCAGCGACCGCTTCATTTGTGAATACTTATGACATTTCCGTCCCTGATTTTCTGAAAGGCTTGTGCTTGACGCCAAATCTCCTGGAATATCGTCGTTAGCTTGTCCATCAGTCGGGTATGCCGTGCTTGAATAATACGGCCGGTATCTCGTCGATGCCAGTGTTTCTCCAGCACAGGTTTGTAGCACTGCCCTGGAAGTTTCTAGTAGGGAAAGCTGGAGGCGCCGTTTGATAGCGGCCTCTGAGATTGTGGATATGCGACTGGGAACGGTTTTAACCGCTCAATACTGTGATTAAGAACATGCGATTTCATCTTCGACATTGTTTTTTCCCCGAAGCCAAGCAGACATGCCGTACTTTGGTTGTGAGGCTGTAGGCCGTCTATGTCGACGCGAGGGAGTGTTTCATATGCCCGTGGTCAGCGTACCCTCGGATTTTCATTGTCTTGCGTGTCATCTTGGGGTCCTACATCTTCCACAGTTTTTGTTGCACAAGGCAATGACATGTGAAGAAGGCTGCTTCGAATGCAGTTTTCGTATTTGGTTCCGTATTTGCGCAGTCTCTCATCCCATCGTTTTCGGCGAGCATATTGCGGACTTCTCCACTGCTATCATAAAGACAATCCTGGTGTTGCCTTTACGGGCGAACGAGGACGTCCATGACGATGAAGTGGACAGTTTTTCGCAGTTGGCGTTACCTTCATTGGCGTTTCCTTCTGTATCATGCAGTTCTTTCAGACTGTATGGCGGATGTCGTCTTCGTCATCCAGAACGGAATCGCAGGATGACTGGCCTGTTGACCACAGGGCATCAACGACCGTATGATGAGCCCCTGCCTGCCTCTCCGAGGAGGCGAATTTGTCACCATCATCAGCGCCTACACTCCCCAAAGACCATCCCTGATATCGCTAGAGACAAATACTACAAAGACCTGCACGCCCTCCTGCCGACTGTATCGACGGCGGGCATGTTGATTGTCCCTGATGACTTTAACGCCCGCGTAGGCGCAGGCCATGCTACCTGGAGAGGAGCGCTCGGTCCCCATGGCCTCCACGGCTTCAATGACAATGGTCTGCCCCTTCTCCGCACCTGCACAAAACATCAACTCATCCTAACGAACGTCTTTTTTGTCTGCCACAGCGAGATAAGGACACCTGGATGCATCCTCGGTCGCCTCAGTCTCACCTGCTGGACTATGCCCTTGTCCGGAGGCGAGACCAGCGGGAGGTGCTGGTGAAAAAACGATTCCATATGCGGACGGGTGGACCGACCATCGCCTCGTCATCTCGGTGATGCGTATTCGCCTACAGACTCGCAGGAGACCGCAAGGTAAGCGACCCCCATGGAAGCTGAATATTGCTTTGTTGTTTTTGCCTGTTCACCTTGTCCATTTCAGCGGCGAACTAACTCAACGGCCAGACAACCTCCCCATCGCTGCCGCTGGCGAGAACGTCTCCGTGGAGAACCGATGGTGTCAACTGCGAGAAACGGTCCAGCCGACGGCGCTCGCCGTCCTCGGTCGCGCTCCCCGCCAACACCAGGGCAGGTTCGACCACAACGAGGCTGCCTTCAGTAACCTGCTCGCCAAGAAAACCGCCTGCACAAAGCCAACGTCGACTGCTCCACCGATGACAGCAGAGTTGCCTTCTACCGTAGTCGTCGCCTCGTTCAACAGCGACTGCGCGAAATGCAGGACGCCTGAGTGGCCCACAAGACCGAGGAAATCCAAGAGTACGCGGACCATAAAGAATTAAAGGACGTCTTTTCCGTGATTAAAGCTGTCTACGGTCCGTCAAACAAACGTTCTGCACATTTCCTCAGCGCCGATGGCAGCAGCATACTCAATGAGAAGACAAATTCCGCAGCGATGGGCCAAACGCTTCCGAGGCATCCGCAACCGCCCCTACACCATATCCGACGCCGCCGTCGCACGTCTGCCGCAAGTGGAAACCAATGTCCATCTTTACCTCCCGCCTTCTCTCTACGAAACAATCAGGGCCGTGCAACAGCTCTCCAGCGGAAAAGCGCCCGAATCGGACACGATCCCGCTGAAGTCTACAAGCACGGTGGCCCTCAACTCATCGATCATCTGACTGTGCTCTTCCAGGAGATGTGGCCACAAGGTGAAGTCCCGCAGGTTTTAAAAGACGCAACAATCGTGCATCTATATCAGCGAAAAGCAATCACCGGCTCTGCGACAGTCACCGAAGCATCTTCTTGCTGAAAATTGCAGGGAAAATCTTTGCTCGCATCCTCCTCAACCTCCTGAATAATAATCTGGAACAGGTTCTTCTACCGGAAAGCTATTGCGGCCTCCGCCGTCATCGCGGTACCACGGACATGATCTTCGTTGTCAGCCACCTACAGGAGAAGTTTAAGGAGATGCGGACCCACCTGTACTCTACCTTCGTGGATCTAGCGAAAGCCTTCGACACGGGGAATCGTGAAGGACTGTGGAAGATCGTGCAGAAATTCGGCTGTCCGGAGCGATTCATTCAGATGGTGCGTCAGCGCCACGAAGGCATAATGGCGCGCATCACAGACAACGGAGCTGTCTCAGAGGCATTTGCAGTGACCAACGGAGTGAAGCAGGGATGCGTCCTGGCGTCCCCTCCCCTCTTCAGCCTTGTGTTCTCTGCTATAATGATGGACGCCTTCCGCATCCGTTTACAGGACGGACGGCCACCTCCTCAATCGACGGCGGATGCACTTTCAATCGCGTTTATCCGCAACCACTGTGCGCGAACTTTCTTTCGCCGACGACTGCGCCCTCAACACTACCTCGGAAGAGGACATGCACAGGAGCATGAACCTCTTCTCCGCCGCCTGTTAGAACTTCGGTCTGGTCATCAACACGGAGTAGACGGTGGTCATGCACCAACCGCCACCCCCCTGCCAGCACATGGCCCCTTCATAGGCGGGGCTGGGTGGGGCCAGAGCCCCCTCTGCATTGAAGCCTTTTTAAGCGTATTTGCATCGAAAGATATGTTTCAAAAGCACCACTTAATGTACCTTCTTTGGAATTAAAAGGAGCTAATTTATCAAAATTGGCTTATAAATCATGGAGAAAGCATCCGTTTACGCCCACTGAATGTAGCTGCGGATGAGCACAATATATTTAGGTTTTGTTTAAGTTCCTCATTGCATAAACTCTTATTTGTCCACCGGTTAACAATCTGTGTGTGTTATTAATTCATATATTTGACAATCGGGACGATATTTTAAAGTGGTGCCAAAAGTGGGCGGGGATGTGGCCTCCCCTGCGCATTTTTTTCGCTGGCGGGGCCAGGCGGGGCTATCGCGTAGCATGCCCCTCCACAGCCCCCTCCACAGCCCCGCCTAGCCCTCTCATGGCCCCCTCTAGCCCCGCCATTATTGCGGGGGCCAGGCGGGGCTAGGCGGGGCTGGTGCTGGCAGGGCCGACACAGCCCCTACCCACAATGCGCTACAGATCAACGCAACCAGAACCCAACTGCAAGTAGTGAAATACTTCCCATATCAGGACAGTACCTTTCCCGCAGCACGAAAATCGATGACGAAATAGCCCGCCGGATTTTAAAGTCAAGTCAAGCCTTTAGCCGCCTTCTAAACACAGTTTGGAATCGTCCCGGTCTCCAGCTCAGCACGAAACTGAAAAATGCACAAGGCCATCATCCTCCCGACGCTGCTGTATGGAGCTGAGACAACAGCTGTTGAGCTTGAGCGGCCACCTCAGGCGGATGGACGACGAGCGGCTACCCAAAGGACTATTCTATGCAGACGTCTCCACGGGTTCCCGCCGTCAAGGATGCTGATACAAGGGCACTGCGAAGTCCTCTCTGAAGCGTCCGCAAATCAATCCGACCAACTGGGAAGGCCTCGCCCGAGACTGACAGGCATGGGGAAGATGAGTGAAGACAGGCGCCGCAGTCCTCGAGGCCAACCGCATGGCCGAGGCGAGGGCCAAACCTGAGACACACAATTGTCTGCTGCGCCCATCCGCAGTGCCAACGTACAACCGCCTCCAACGTGTCCACGGTGTCAACGGACATTCGGGGCGCGAATTGGACTCATTAGACACTTTCGGAACAACTGCAGCACTCGGACCGCACAAACCGTCGTCCCTCCGTCCACTTCCTCCCCGTCCTCTACGCCGTAAATTAACTCACACCGCTGCACACCAACACTACACACAATCCTGAAACACCGACAAACACGAACACCGCCACCGTCGACATCAGTGGTGAGGACCAGGACTACACCTGTCCTCACACAGACCGCATTCATACCTCGCAAATCGGCCCTGATCGGTCACTTGCAAATCCGTTGCACAGAGACTGGCGAGCCAGCGAGTGGAGCACCAACCTACACTCGCCGCACCCGCCTCCATTGCCCACCCTGCCATCGCACATTCATGCATCGCATGGGCCTGCTCAGCCACATACACATCAACGAAAACCTGCGGTAGAAAATCACCGGCCGCATCATACCACGACATTCTCCCTCACTGCCTTATCACCGTACACCAAAATCACCCACCGCAAGCACCCAACTACCACCTCCCACGCAAGAGGAGAGTGTACTTCTCGACTCGGTGGAGAGGCGGACTGGTGAGCTGGTGATCGGACCGAAACAGCTCCTTCCACGCCATCTGCACGCATGTGAGAGACGCCGCTCAACTATCGTTGTGTGAAATCCCGGTGCCTGTTTTTAGGGGGCCAGGTTGTGCATATGGCACGCAGACAAGGCCATTAGATACCACCACCGCGCCCATCTCCCGCCCCATTCTGCTGACCGGCTTCGACAGGGGCTGAGGTGTGGGAATGGGAAGGGAGAGTGAGGTCAATACTTCAGCGCATTTTCCTCACAATAAACGATCTGACGCGCTTAAATATAACGGGGGGGGGGGCGCTAGAAGCCGTGGCTTGGAAGGTTGTCAACGGATGGGATAACTTGGACCTCGCAGTCGACCAGTGTTGTATGTGTTTGTGTGAAGTGGCCGGCTGGTCGTCTGAGAGCCAGGCTGCAATGGCCCCTTCTTAATTTGGTCTTTATGGCACTCCCACAGTGTGGGATCCGAGCCGGGCGTGGGCGGCACGCCTAGGTGCGGTTTCGGCCGTGCCAGTCTCCATTCTCTGTTGATTCTTGGTCAAAGACCTGGTTATTCGTTGTGTGGACCAGGGGATGTGGTGTGGAGCGTCAAGGTACGGGCTCGACCATGCCATCCACCTGCGCCCTTTCCCGTCTCCGGTCTTCTTGACTCTGTCTTGAACTCGGGTCCAGGTGGCGGAGAAGAGAGTGTGGTAGATGCAGCACAAATCTACTCCCACTATATGTCCTGCGCAGGCCACCATCCCTGCTCCCACGCTGCTGTGGAGCACATGTTGGACATCGTCGAAACCGACGGTCGAACTCTCGTGTTGACTGATTGTCAAAATATATGCGGTTAGGGGACACATTCAACAAAGAAGCAGGCATCTAACTTGGTAATCGTTTACCTTACTTTTTTCTGCGAGATTGCGGTGGAAGCCGTATTTCAGAGAGGTGTTTTGCCTAGCCGTCGATGTCCTAAATCTCTTTGTTACCAGTATTTCCTGTCGGTCTTGCCTTCGGACGAGGATGTAGTCAAGCAACTGTCCCCGCTGTGGTGTATCCCTGTTGAATTTTCCCACGTTGGAGTAGGAGCAAATATACTGGTAAGAAGGCTGCGCCTTACGCAATATGTAGAGGCCGTTGGCGTCGTCACAACCAAAACTTTTATGACCCAGCACTCCCTATAGACAGCGAGGTCTCTCCCAAGGCGGGCATCGAAATTATTAACCTAAATCAGCCTTGTCCGTTTTCGACATAATTGCCTGGGCACATGAAGCTTTTCATAGTATTGTTCTCCGCTGCGTCGCAACTACTTATTGATGGGGACGTAGTCGATGATGATGATGATGATGATGATGATGATGATGATGATGATGATGATGATGATGATGATGATGATGATGATGATGATGATGATGATGATGATGATGATGATGATGATGATGATGATGATGATGATGATGGCAAATTCAGCTATCAGAAGAGGTAGATACAGTGCTTGTCCTTTGGTAGACAGGACCGAGGTTTAACTAAGTTGTTCGAGATGACAAGTGCGACGCCAGGGTCGGGCCGATCTGTCTTTACCCGGCTGCTCCAGACTAACGCGTAGCTGGAACCCCCTACCAACCCTGTCCGGAGAACTTGGTCTCGCTGATTGCAGTGATGTCCGCTTGGTAGTGAACTAGCTCTCGAGCGACTTGAGTCACCTTTATTTTTTGTGTCAGGAGTTTTTTTCACTGCTGGTCGGATTTGTGTTTTAGCTTCCCTGACAATGTCTGTAAACTGGCATTAAATACAAGTACTATTGGCAGTATGGTATTACCGACAAAGACAAGGGAGATCGGAATGGCCATTTCTGGCTTATAAGCCGTCGTCAGCCAGTCATGCCCCGCCCCGAAGTGTAGAACACCCGAGGCTCGATCTCGCGACCTGTTAGTTAGAAGTCCACGCTTCTAACCACTGGGCCACGAGCCCACTGCCGTGTCGGTTTCGATCAGGAATGCACAATGGTAGGGGACGCTCACCGATTGTTCATACGGAACTCACTCGTTCCGTTGTGCCTTAAGGGCCCTTTCTCAAGCCCAACCAGCAGCCGCATAGCGCTGCATGATATAGGTGGTATTTTATTACCGACAAAGACAAGGGAGACTGTCTCCCTTAAGGGTTAGGCAGCGTAGCCGAAGCCATAATCTCAATGCCCACCCAAGAACTGTCAGCCTCATTGTAGGCTACAGCCGTGAATTGGCCAGAAGAAGGGTACTGCTGCGGTATCGGTGAGTCATAATTCCGTTTGTCTAGGTAGAGTTATTTTGAAAATCCTGGCGGAGATGTTCTGGAAGGGAACTTACTCTTTCCTAGACTAGTGCAATTGTTGACTGACAGCAAACGCAGCATTTGAAGTAGATATTCAACACCATAAACATCCTGACAAGAATAACCGTTAATATCCTGAAACCTGATAAAACATAAAAATTGAAGTTATCTTACTTGAACTGGGCAGGGCTTTCGATACCGTTAACAGGCTGGCTGAAATTCTTAAATTGCGTCCTATTGCATTTAAACATTTGCTCAGATCAAAGGTTGTTTTCCAAAAAAGGAAGCTTTATATACGCGTGTGCTCTTTCACACTTTGGTTCCGGAAGAATCAGAGCATGGAACGTTTATTTTTCTGCGAAGGAGATGGACGCGCGATCACTGAGACAGTACATGCACTTGTCTGGACTGGAGGCCTGGGTGTTTGACACATGCTCCCGCTCCCGCGGCCAAGACGCGAAACTCAATTCCCAGTCAAGGGTGCACACAGTCACGCCGCCGAGGGACGCGTTGACTCAGCCTTATCGCGAGCACCACCCCTGCGCTCCTACCCCCTTCATGGCTTGACCACAGAAACGGCTCATTTGACGCCGCAGCCTCACAGTCTCTGACGCTTACCTCCTGCACGAGACCGAAAGCTCTGACTAGTAGACCTACTGTCCCAGAGATCGCTTGTTCATCTTTTGTACGACAAGAACTTGGGATTCGCATAACCGCTTCCTCCCAAAGCCAACTTTCTGGCAGAGAAGTTTGTCCGTTGCCCATTGCAGTATTTTGTGATTAAAGTTGTCTTACAGCTCCTGCACAGTCCACGTTTATGAATCATTGCCAAGAACGTTAAAATCCCAAACGATAAGGACATCTTTCTGCTCCCTGCCGTTGTACAGTTCGGTTATGACAATGAGATCCTGATCAGAAGTCTGGTTAGGCGAACAATACACCACCGAAAGCGTCAGTAGTTGGACATACTTATCAGATATTGTGAAGTTTGACAGTTCCACATCCAAATGAGCAGCAAACCGAAGTCTGGAGGGCCATTCCTTACGTTAAAGGGGTCTCTGAGGCGGTCTCTCGATTGTTACAACCTGCCAGAGTAGGCATAGCCCGCCGACCCCAGGCAACAATTCGACGCCGTCTGATGCAACGTAAGGACCCATTGCCACCCGCCGAAACCTCAGCACTTACCTACAAAATAAAGTACGATGAGGGCGACTGCAACTATGTGGGGTAAACCGGGCGGAAACTGCAGATTCGCCTACTAGAGCACAACTCGGCTACTCGGAGGTTAGACCGAAACTCTCAATTAGCAACACATATTGGAGAAACTGGGTACGCTTTCGATCTCCAGCGACCTACCATCTTAGACCGGGGCAACACAAAAGCAGGACGGCTAACTCTCGGGGCGTGGTTCTCCGATGACCACTCCATCAACAGGCATCTGGACCTTCCTGCAGCCTACAAAGTCCTACGTCATCACAATCGTAGGGCTCAGGACCAAACAACCACACCGGACTTAAGAAGGCCATGCGGAGACAGCCGGACGGCGAGTTTACTCGGTGAGGAAGAACAAGAACCGCCAGACCGACCACCCGACACTGGTTCAATCACCTCCCCCGACGGAATGGTGACTCACAAAGCACGCAGACAAAACGTCAGTCAACCATCTCCCGAGAGGCCGAGGCAGCGAGAGGGGAGGAAAATCGATCAGCACAAGGCCGACCAACGTAACAAGCCACTTGGGATTTCTGGTCGATTAAGTACATATTACGCTTTGACAATGGAGAGTCGACCAAGTTCTCCGAAACGTCAGCATGTAAATAAACCTGTTCCCTTCTTCTTCTTCTTCTTCTTCTTCTTCTTCTTCTTCTTCTTCTTCTTCTTCTTCTTCTTCTTCTTCTTCTTCTTCTTCTTCTTCTTCTTCTTCTTCTTCTTCTTCTTCTTCTTCTTCTTCTTCTTCTTCTTCTTCTTCTTCTTCTTCT